TACGGCTACTAGTCGCACCTCTACTGTAGTTCACTGCTCTGTCATCATAACTACGGCTACTAATCACACCTCTACTGTAGTTCACTGCTCTGTCATCATAACTACTGCCACTAATCACATCTCTACTGTAGTTCACTGGCGGTCATCTATGCTCTCTGATAACGAGGAGAGAATCAGACAGAGAAAAGAAATGGAAGGAGAGATATAGGTGGAAGAATGTCTTTAAAAGAGAGGTGAGAGGAAGACAAAGGCATCTACGAGGAATAATCTCCAACTTTCTGCGGGAATGGAAGGAAAGATGGCAGAGAAATAAAATGAAAGGACTGTAGTTTATTAGAGGTTATCTTTGGTTTGCTGTCTAGGGAGAGAAAGGGAGGGGAAAGGAAATGAGAACAGGTGGTAGAGAAAAGCAGATCTTAGATGTTACACAGGTTATAGTCATATTTCTATTTGAGAGAGATAGATAATAAAACAGTGCTTGTTGGCCACCGTTGGATTTCTGTAGAGATAAGAATAGAGAAATAGTAAGGCAGTGGCTCAGGTTTTTAAACTTCTTTTGTTTTTGTTTTCAGACATTTCTTTGATTATTTAACAGTCCACACCACGGCAACCCAAGATATAGGTGACTTATGTGAATATAATGAATCACCATTCTTTACTCAGGCATCTCTTTTTGCCTGCTTGTCATGAACTTCAACCTATTTTCAGAATGGACTGTAGAGGACCTCCATCAACACATCCACACTGATTGACTGATCTGTGACACAACAACTAAAACCAAGTTAAAGACAAACCAAAAGGGATGATGATCTTAGTCCAGAATTGAATGTGAGAGAAAAGAAAGGGTTAGTAGGGGTGTGGACAGGAAGCGCTACAATGGGTGAAAAAAGGGGAATTAGAAGACGAGTGGAGGCTAAAAGCTTGTATTATTTGATTTTGTTTCCATCTGCTCTTATTCTCTGAGAAAAACAGTGAGTGATTGTGAGAGCGTTAGATAATGTAGTTCTTTAGGTTCAGAGCCAACATATTAACATGTTAATATCCCAGTTGGTAAATAATATCCACTTTTCTGCATTAATGGAAAATTAAGTATGTGCTTTTAAAGGATGGGACCAATACTGGAATACCGATGTTCATGTTTTGAAGCTGGCAACAAGCAATGCAGTATACACAGTAACTTTTTCCATGACATGCCATTGTTTAAGAAGTTGGTATTCTCCGCTTTGCATACACACACATTTCCCTTCCTTTAAAAAGTGGGGCATGTGCATCGCTGTTGTCAAATCTATCCCTGTTTGACTTGTCAGAAAGAATGTCTAACAGAGCAGCCATGAGAGAGGACAAAAATATTAGGGCAATGAGGGAGAGAGGGCAGCAGAGAAAGCATGGAGAGACAGTTTGAGAAAAGAGGGATGGGAATGATCCCCCAGAATGAGCTGGAACATGTTGCCGGTGAGAGGGAAGTCTGGGTCAGCCTGTTGCCACCGCGACCCGACCCCGGATAAGCGGAGGAAAATGGATGGATGGATGGATGGATGGATGGGAATGAGGTCAGAGGCAGCTGGATTTCCACTACATGAAATTAGGATACATTGAATGTCGACCAAAAGCTGCAAAGAAAAGAAAGATTTGAAAAGTTTTTATTCTCTTGTAATGGTTGTTGCACCAGAGATTACTATACTGTAAATGGTAATGTAAATTATCTTAATAGATAGTTAGAAAGGTGTTTATATATGTTTGTCTGTCTGTGGACAGATCTTCATTTGTGTGGTTGAGATCAAAATGAAGTGTGAGGGACTGGATGTAGTGGGGTAGGGCAGTGTTTTTCAACCTTTTCTGAGCCACGGCACATTTTTTACATTAAAAAGATCCCGGTGCACACCAACAACCAAAAATGTTACAAAATGACACCCTTTAGCATAATACAGCATATATGCCATGGTGTCAAACTCAATCCCAGAGAGGGCCAAAATAACAAATTGGGACTACTTTGAGGGCCAAATAGAGTCACCATTTAATAAACAGGATAGAAGGGATATTGGACAAGGTGCAAAAAGAATACATGTTTAGGTAGGCTACATTATTTTATGCATACGTACCAGAGCCAGATGTTTGGCATCTTTTCTTGGCTGCTAGTTCATTAATGTCTGGGGTTGGGTTCTGTGGAAACCCTCACGATGGAGTGAAGGTGAGCATCAGTGAGACGACTCCTGTGTGGGTTTGTGTTCATCTTCACCACAGAGAAAAGCTGCTCACACAGGTATGTGCTTCCAAACATGCAGAGCATTTGAGCAGCATGTACGCGGAGTTAAGGCATCGTTTCGGGGTGAAGCTTGGAAACTGTGCAGCGCCCTCAGAGTCACACTTTGCTTTGAGTGTCATTACACTGGAGGTCTATCAGCTCCACAGGTGCTCTTTCCACGTCAACTGCAAACGGATTGCTGAGCACTTCAAATTTACATTTCTGAGCTGGGAAGTCGGTAAATCGCAGAGTGAACTCCGTGCCAAGTGCACCCAGTTTATGATCAACATGCGCAGTCGGGAACACAGCGGTGGACACTTTTACTGCATCACACATGTCTGTGATCACATGTCCCCGTCCCTGAAGCTGCAGGTTTAGCGCAGTGAGATGCTTCATTATGTTGCACAAAAAGCCAGCTCACATCGGCACTTTTCGTCCTGGAGCTCTGTGGTGTGGCGGGCCCGTTATGATAAACATGATATTTTCTGGCGGGCCGTTGTACCGAGGGCCGGATATATTCCGACAATTTAATGACAAGTCTCTCAATGTGTTGATCCTTATAGGCTTTTCATCTGGGTTATTTTGTCCTGGGCCCAGTTCAGAGTCTACATTTTTACTTTTCAAATATTTCTCCATCGCTGTTCATCTTGTCATCGCAACCTCTCCCGCGCGTCATTTCATTCTACTGTCCTAAATTAACAAGGTCATTACTGCGCTACCTACTGCCACCCACTGGCATGGAAGAGCATGTATTACTTAGCCAGCCACTATATTGCAGCTCAGATGCTCAACAATGGCAAAGTATTTGCAACAACTAAATAATATTTTTTTGGACTCATTAAGTGAAATTGGACATTTTCCCACTGCACACCTGGCGATCTCTCAAGGCACACTGGTGTGCCGCGGCACAGCGGTTGAAAATCACTGGGGTAGGGAATGGGGAAGGGTCCATTGCCCGGTTCTGCCGAGTGAAGCCGATGCGGAAGTGTCTTAAAACCTGCATTCTCTCTACTGACCATCAGGGGGGCAGAAGAAGTCAGATTGTATAGAAGTCTATGAGAAAGTGACTCTACTTCTCTCTTGATTTATTACCTCAGTAAACATTGTAAACATGAGTTTATGGTCTCAATCTCTAGTTTCAAGTCTTCTTCAATACAGCATGATGTTCATTTAGTACATTATGGTCCATTTAGATTCAAACGGACCATAAAGCAGGGGATGCTTTAGGGCGGGGCTTACTGTGATTGATACAGCCAGAGCCTTTTACAGCGTCTCTACATCACTCCTCCACATTCCAAATATGGTAACTTCTGTTCAATGGATGTCTGAAATGAGGTCGGTAACACAAGCTGCAGATATTTGAACATTTGCTTCTACGATATAAAATACGTCAGTAAATACTCCTCTGGTGATTTGAG